TACGTACGTGGACGTGAACAGTCACACAAAGGTCACACACAGCCAGGACTCCATACCTTGAATTCCACACCTGTGACTCAGCCCACCATAGTTCAGATTCTCTGTATTGAGGCCCACAGTGACTGCACCTGTAGGAACATGTCCCAACTTTCTCTTCCTTGTCATCATTCCCCAAGCAATACAGAGCCACAGCTGTTTACCTGGCGTTTTCATTGCCCCAGCTTTTGTAGTTAGCTAGGGATGATTGGTACAGGAGGATGTACATGGGTTATACGCAACACTTTGCCCACTTTAGGTAAGGAATTGGAGCATCCTCCTATTTTGACATCTTCCTGGGATCCTGGAACCTGTGTCTGTGGATACTGAGACACAGCTAGGTTTCAGGGAGGAGGGCTTATGTCAGCAGGCAGAGAAGAGGAGCAGCAGGTAGCACTGGGCTTCATGGGGCCCAATCCTTCATCAGAGCTCTGTCGTGAGCTCCCATGTCCCTCTGAGTAGGTAACCTTTACTCTTAGGATCCCTCCACTGAAAGTGGGGAGATTCTGATCTTCTGGCTTCTTGCAGCCATGGTCTCATCCTTTGGACCAGGACACATCAGTGTCCCCAGAATCCCCTTTTCCAGAAGGAAATAAATGAACCAATAGCACTGGGCTTAAGAAAAAACTTTGGGGGAGGTGGCTCTTCTCCCTGACACTGCTTTGTACAACTTGAACTCAACTGAGTTGACCAAAACACCCTTAATACTCTGTCCTGAGAAATGGTAGAAGCAGGACTGGGCATTGTATCCCAAACTTCATTCAAAAAGGACCATCCCCCTTGCTTTGGTGCCACAGAAGGCTGGGCAAGTGCCCAAGAGAATGTCCACAACATCAATCAGAGTTTGCCTTGGCCTCTCCATGTACAGCTCCCCGGAGAAGGAAGGCACAGCCCTAGGAGGCAAAGCCAAGGTTGGCAGTGTGGAGGATGTTTTATACCAGCTAGCCTGTCTTCCCTCTGACTCACCTCTCCTAGTAGAATTCCTACCCTCTGCCCAAGAGTTGGCCTCTACTTCCTCCTGTGTTTCACAGGTGTTTCCCTCTGTGGGTGCCATGTTTCCTCTCAATGTTCCCTGCTGCTGTCCCCAACAGTGCAGTCTCTCATGTGCAACCCTGCTAATGTCCCCGATGAACCTGTTTACCTCATGTCTTTGCCCAGAGCTGAGGTTGTCCCTATTGTTCTTTCTATGCATAAGTCCATATCACACCTTTCTCTATTCATGGAACCAGTAGCTTCCTCCAAAAGACTAAGATTCTCAGTGACCTTATGGGACTTTTCTAGGGTCATTTTAAGGAGATGCTGAAGGGTTTAATGTTGGGACTGACAGAACATCAGAAGCCCCACAGGCTGGCTGAAGAGTTGCCTTTTCTATCAGGAGGCTGAGGCCAAGTCTTTCTTTCACTCATTCCCACAGGGAGAAGGATAACACAATTCCTGAGGCCGACATGGAGTTACATGATGGAAACCTGACAGCTGAAGAAATAAAATTTTTGCAAGAGTTTCCTGAGTGGAAAAAGGAGCAAGAAAAGTATATCACAACACTTCGTGCCTTTGCAGATGATGCTGACAAAATGCACAAAAAATTCACCAAGTCCAAAGTGGTGTCCAGTTCTGTCACTGTGGCCTCTGAAGTTGCGAACATTGTGGGCTTAGCCCTCGTGCCCGTAACAGCAGGAGCAAGCCTGCTACTCTCCACTGCCAGCAAAGGTGTGTCAGCAGCAGCTGTAGTTAGCACAATGGTGACAGAGTTTAGAGAGAAGTCTCACAATAAAAAACTCCGTGCTCAGGCCAGTATCCAAGTGCCCGTGGGTGACCACGAGCCCAAAGAACCAGCAGAAAAGCAGTCAGCCCACCTCTCGCCTGCTGGTCAGGCTCTGTACAGGTGTGGGAGAGCCCTGCAGGTTATCAAGAAAGGCATCCGGGCCCTCTGGCCTATCAAAACCCAGCCACACTCGGGCACTTCTGTCAAGCATCATCGGACTTCTGGTAAAGTCTCGGGAGCTGCGAGAACACAAATAGCAAAGTCCAGTCCGGGCAAAGCGCTGACTGTGGCCAAACTAGCTCGCATGAGCGTTAGAGCCTTCGCTTCTATGTCTCTTAATGAGGGTATGTCTGCTCTCTGGAAGAACTGGAAGCAACTGAGAGATGAATCAAAAGCCGAGCTTGCAGAAGAACTCAGGGCCCAAGCTCGGGAGCTGGAAGAGGTGCTGGAACAATACAGCAAATGCTACGATGCACTACTGAAAAAGGTAAGGCTAGGTTTTTGGAAGTGGGGCAGGAGGGGGACACTTTAACTGGGACCCAAGGGAACCAGAGCTGTCCAGGAGGGGTGAGGAGAGCTCGTGTGCACTTGGTGTAAAGCTTGCATGAATGCACTTCAAGACGTGGCTTTTGGTGGCCCTTAAGGTCCAAATAATATGAAAGTCACCTTGGCTTATGGACGCCTGTGCTGCTTAGGTCTGGTCACATCTTTTATTTCTCCTTCAGTCTCCTTCGGGCCCTGTTCTGGGAAGAGCCTGTTGCTTACTTTAGAGACGTCACAAAGCCCCTTTGCCAATATTCTGACCTGAAATGTGTCCCCCTATAATTCATGGGTCAAAGCCGTAAGCCCCAGGGGGACGTAATGAGAGTGTAGAGGTCATAAGGTGGAGTCCTCATCAGACAGGACTAAGGTCCATAACCAAGTGCAAAGACACTTGATGAGCCTCCCCGCACTCCAGGGACCAGCAGAGGAGAAGCTGTGCAGAACACAGTGAGAAGCAGAGAGCTTGAAGCCTAGAAAAAAGCCACTGGCTGGAAACAAACATGCCCACACACTGGTCTGGCTTATAACCTCGAGAAGTATGAGAAAATGAACTTCTCTTGTGTCAGCTACTCTACCCGAGGCATGTTGTTATGGCAGCCCACATTGACCAGGGCAAGGAGGCTAGGCAGCCGGCCAAGTACCAGGGTATTCAGGCTCCTATCAAAAGCTGCCTTAGACTGGGTCATCTGGGGACAGTAGACTGTTCAGGAGGCTGGTGCGTCCGCTGTCTGGTCTCTGGCAGCAGCAGGTTCAGTATATGAGGAGGCCTCTCTCTGTCCTTCACAGAAAGTGCCTTCACATGAGGCCTCACCTGAAGGCAGGGAAGTTCCTGGTGCCTCTTCCACAAGGGCACTAATCTCAGTCATGGGTTATTCAGCCTGATGCCTTGTGTTGGTTACTTTTCCTCATTGCTGAGACAACATACCTGACTCTCTCAAAGTTAAGGAAGGAAAGGTTTATTTAGCTCACAGTTTGTGGAGGTTTCAGTCCTTAATCCGCTGGCTCCAGTGCAGGCTGGTGTGGTGAGAGGCAACCATTCAAGTTGGCAGAAGGCAGCAAAAACAGAAGTGGTGGGGGGGCAGGCATCTTTCCTCCCCACCCCCCCAGGCAGGGGTAGCACTCACACCCTAAATTCCACTAAGCAATCCCATTAGACTAAACATGAGCAAATGAATCAATTATAAACTCTAGATTCAGTCACCATCAAAAAGCCCGGCCCTCATGACTGCATGAGGCTTTGGGGAACATCCAGACACAAACCATTATGAACTTTAGTCACCTCTCAAATTCCAGTTCCATCTAAGGCCATCACATGGGGGATTAGGTTTAAATCTGACTTTAGGCAGACAAACATTCAGACATTAGTATCAAGTGTTAGGTAATGGGAGACCCAAGACAGCAGGCCTTACTCTATGCTGGGTTGCCAAGGGTCCCTTCTATGTGTTTGCTGTCCTGTTCAAAGAATTGAGTAAGACAAGCGGGGTGTGGTTGTACCCACCCCTTGAAACCAGTGCTCAAGAGGCTGAGGCAGGAGGACTGCTATGAGTTTGAGGCCAGCCTGGACTACAAAACAGGAGCCTGTCTCAAAAAAAGAAAAAAAAAAAAAAAGAATTAGCCAAGATAAATAAAGAATTTAAAAGTTTTTACATTTATTCAGGGATTGAAGGTAATATTAAAAGTAAAAGTAGGAAAAGAAATGTGCTCTGGAAGGCAAGTGTGGGCCAGTTAAGGTAGGAAAAGAAGTTGCAGGGCAGTGTCTCGCTCTGTAATTCAGGCTGGCCTTGAACTTCCGGGGATCCTCCTACCTCATCCTCCTGAGTGCTGAGATTACAGGCAGAGCCACCACACTGGGCTGGCTGGAGTCTTTCGCATATCCGTTCTCACATAGGTCAGGGCCATTCCATGTCAGGCTTGGAAGCTCTTCTGCCCATGTGTCCTGGCCATGATTGCTAGGTCTCAGTGACTGGCAGGTCAGGCCCAATTGTCCAGCTGATTTGCCATGCCCTAATCTCCTGCCTCACCCCCCATGACAAATCCCATAACTCTTTGTAGGGTCCTGAGATTGTGGATATCCCTATCTTCACGTGGCTGCTTCAGCTATAAAAGGCTGTAGGCCTTACCTACGGGGGATTATGTTCTCTCTAACAACCTTAGGACGCTGTTTCTCACCAGCTGAACTAAGGAAAACCTGTCAGGAGACAATGAGAAAAAAGTTAGTGTCTACATGTGGAGCTGGTTCAATGGGAAAAAGCTTGATATATTTACCAGGAAGAGTAATTTCATTATTCGGGTGGAGGTGTAAAGCTCAAATACGAGGTGGAATAGGTCACCTTTCCATATCTTCTTGTGCAGGCAAAGAGTATGTTAGATTGCCAGTGTAAAGATCATGATTGTACTTACGTACACTTGGAGAAGACCTGGACTCCTGCTTTTAGAAGAGAAGCCTTGGATCCTCCAGAGGTTCCCAAGAGTGCCTTTCTTTTAACAAAGAACATGGTCTGGCATTGCCAGGGTTATTGTGCAAGCTTTGTTGTGCAAAGAATGGTCAAGTTTTGTCGACCTGGTAGGTGGTTGCTGGTACTCCAGTCCTGTGAAAATCGAGTAAACATTTCCCATGGAAAGTTTCTATAATTTATCACAGTGTCCCTTGAGGAAGGTTCTTGGGTATTGGGAATAAGGCTATGGCCTTCAGGGGTTAGAAGACTTTCATCTTGCTTCAATTTCAGCCTTTTTGGATTCCCAGAGAGAGTTTAGACATGCTCCTTTAGTGTCTCTTGCAATGAAAGACAGTGACTTGCTTTGAAAGAGAGGCTGTCTCTAGGAGCTGTATTCTCTCTCTCTCTCTCTCTCTCTCTCTCTCTCTCTCTCTCGTACCTTAGGGAAGGGTCTACAGGGTATTTAGGGTCTCACTACTAGATCGGACTCGTAGAGATCCACCTGTTTACAGCCTCCCAAGAGCTGGGATTACAGGCGAGCACCACTATGTCCAGTCTCAATTGCTGTCTCTGCACAGCCCAGGGGTGGGGCCAGCACAGGAGGCCTGGGGATTGAACCCCTGGCCCCTGTGCCTGCTTTCAGGTG